TTTCATTGCTGCATTTAGACTGGTAGCCGTATTAGTTCTTATTATCTTGAACCCTTAACAGAACTTAATGTTTTAATTTGGAGAAGTTAAATCAGATAAAGCAAGTTAATTTTCGAAAAAATTTATTGCTGTACGACATTACCAAACCAGCATTTTTAAAATTAGCTTTGGCGTTGAAAGCAAAAACAAGAAAAAGGACCATCATCAAACTTGTAATTTTAACTTTTTCAATGTTCAGGAGTCAAATGTACTCCAAACGATCCGATCGAGTGCACAGGTAGAAATCCAGTTTGTGTCTTCTCAAAACTAACTAATGACTACCGCTGTTGCTCGGATATACCACAAGATCTAGGCAACCCTCCTGGAAACCCGGAGCAAATCAAGCCCAGTGAGAATATCTTTTTAGAAACACAGTAATTGCAAATAGGTGTGATGAATATTCTAGTTTGTCCTTACGGTGCTTCATCATATGATATTCCATCTGTACTATTGTGTGATCCGGAAGAGACGAACTCTTGTCCTGAAGAGTACACCTGTGAACAGGTACATTTGTGTTTAAGAGTTCTGCGTAAACGTTTTAAGAATAGGCATATTTTGAAGGCTATAAATCACAAAATGACTGCTCCTGAACATGCTCACTTATGCTGCAAGACAACAACATTGGAGTCATTTGAAAACGGTGAGAAATAATCTACATTTTGGGCAAAAATCATCTTGGATTAGCTCAAAAGAGTTTACCCAATTGTCGAAAACCAGAAATTTTTTTCTGGAACGATCCCAATTAATTCTGGAAATAAATTACAATGTTTCGAGGAGGTGCCTTCAAAATTTATTTTACAGTTTTCTACGAAACAAAAGTCGGCATCAACAAAATGTCCGGAAACCTGTCGATGCCGCTTTTCTACGTAACGTCGATTTCGCCATCCATTATTCCACATGCTCCATTACGCGGAATCGATTTCGTGAGTACAGAATCGTATATTTTAATTAGGAATTCGAGTCACTTAACTTCGGGAATAACTCAGTATCGTATGGTTTGATTGTCTAATTGTAGGTTGGATAGCTTCATAGGGAACTGATATTTCAAAGTAGAACTTATCGGTGTGAGTATCGCTATAATTCAATCTCAGGATTATAATGGCTCCTTGAATTCAACAAGCCTAAAGACCGTTTATTTTGATAACGCATGCCTTACAACTTTCAGGTTGTTCTGCATGAATACGCTCATACAAGCGGCAGCGTCCCTCCAGAGATTAGAACGGGAGACCATTTCTC